GCGCTTGTACACACAGGTGGTGAGCCTACAAATCAAAGGGACCCTTCATCTCCCTCGAGATAAACACCCCTTCCCTCTCCCTCTCTCTCTCTCTGTTTCTCCTTAATCCTCCCAGGAAATCTGAGCATGAAAGCTTTGCTGCTCCCGGTGCCACGGGAAGTTTGAAAGGATTTAAGAAACACCGGAATCCTGGAGAACAATAAGGGGGCTCTCAGGACGGAAGCGGGGGCCAGGGGCGCAGGTGCACCCTCCGTCCCAGGGGGGCCGGGGAGGGGCGCACGGTTCCCGCCTGGGAGGAGGCAGGCACGGCGCCCATGCCCCGCTGTCCCCACACGTGTCCGAGCTCTCCCGCCACCTCCGTGGGGTACCTGAGCGCCTCCTGGATGGTCCTGTGAGCCTCGTCACGGTGCTTCATGCCCAGCAGGCTGCAGGCCCACTGCTGCAGGACGCGCCTCTTCTCCATGCTGATGGCGTCTATTTCCGCACAGGCCTGCGGGGGAGAGTCCGGTGATGTGGACGCTGGCCTCGTGCCCTTATGCTCAGAGCCCCAGAAGGCCGTCGGGGAGCCCCAAGCTCTCCGGGTCACCTTCCTTCTCTGCTACCCTTGCTTTTCTTTATCAGCATCAGCAGAAGGACACGTGTGTAATTAAACACAGCTCTAAAGGCCCATCCACCACCTGCCTAAATCCTCATGCAGGGTCCCGGGTCCCCAGTACCAGTGCCCCCTCCTGGGGCCGTCAGGTCAGACGAGACGGTGCCCGCATGCCCAGCCTGTCCTCAGCTCGCTCAGGGCTGCTACGCCGTGATGCTCAGAGTCTCATCATTCCACCGGAACCACCGCACCTGGCCGCGTGCTGGATTCCCGGAAGGGGCACCGAGTGGGGGCTCAGGTGAGACCCTCCTTATGGCACTAGCACCTTTGTGGAGAAGCCAAGTCCAGCAGAGTCTGCTCTTGGTGGACATGCGTGGGAGACGCTGGAGGAAGTCAGAGGAGCCTTGAACACTCACAGTAACGGTGCAAGGGTGGAGCTGGGTGTGGAAGGAAGCATCACCCCTGGGGATCCCCTTCTTGGTTGTCAGGGCTTTAAAATACCGCCGATTCATTATTATTATAGAGAATAAAGTGGTATGGATGAACTGTGCTATGGCTGGTGAGACATTTCTGGATTTGGGTAAGTTATTAACCAAGGAGGCCGCTCTGTGCCAAGGAGCAGGTTGTGCACTGCCCAACAGCAGGCACCAGAACCACCGGGCTCCTCGGGGCTGGGCCGTGTGGGGCTGGCTGGCCTAAGGCAGGGGCCCCGCCACGGTGCTCATTGCCGGACCAGGGCTTGCTGACCGAGGTGCAGGCTGAGATGCAAAGATCCAGGCTGAATTCAGCATTTAAATGTTTTAAACACCTTCCCCATTAAAAAAAAAAAGGTATTCACTCTGTGGGAATTAGAACATGGAGATAAACAGAAAGAAAATCGAAATAACCCCACCACTTGGAGCTCACCATTCCTGACAGCCTGGCGGTGTCTTCCTGCGTGTGCGTGTGTGCGCGCGCATGTGTGCATGTGCGCACGCGTGTGTGCGCGGAATCGTGGATACATCGCTTTGTAAGTTAGTGTTAAAAACGAGCACGTTGTGAATGGGTTTTCACGCTGGTAAGTATTTGTTCCATTGGTGGGACAGTCTTCCCGTGCAAGGATGTGTCATACTTTGTGTAACCGATGCCCTCTTCTTGGAATCTTTCTTGGCTGTCACACACAACACTGGGTCCCCCGTGACTCTCTGTTCACCTTGTCCATGGAGTCCGTAATGTATAAAACTTTGATATGCATGCCTGCTTTCCCTGGAGTGAAGTCCAAGCAGTGATGTTTTGGGAGACTTTGCTGGGGCGGCGGGGTGGTGAGGGGGTGGCTCTGACACGTTGTACAACATTGCCCTGGAACGAAGATCTCGGAAAAGCCGGATGTGCACCTCCCAGCCTGGGGGCCCCCCTTCTGCTCCTGTTCATTCTGCCAAGTCGGTGGGAGAACCCCATCTCGTCCTCTTCCATCATCGATGTCTGCGGTGCACCTGCCACACGCCTTTGCTGTTCTGGGCGCAGGAATGCAGGATGAACAAAATGGGGGACGACGGCCCTGCCCCGGCGACACAGCCGGCAGAGGGGGGTGCAAGGCACAAAATGACACAACAAAGGAAAAGTTCACAGCATTGCGTGTGAGCGCAGCCATCACGGTGCAGAAGCGTGCACAGGAGAGTCCGGACTGACTTTCAAACCTTCCGCACCACCACACTTACAGAAAGGCCTCTCCAGCCCAGGATTTTATAAATCTTTGTCTTTTTTCTTTCCTTCTGGTACAGTTTCCCTCATTTATATACTTCGTCCCATGTGGAATGAGGAAACGATTTGATATTTTCCCCCCAAATGATTAACTGAATGTCCCAATGCCCCTGGGTGCACAATCCACTTGCTCTCCATTAACTTATAATCCATGAAATTTCTATAGAAACGTCTCCTGGATTCTGAGCTCTCTCTCAGGCTCCCACGGCCCACCTCGGACCCTGACTCCAGCAATTCATTATTCTAGCCTCTATTGCATGTAACGCTAGGAGGACCCACCAGCCCGGCCTGTCCAGGACTCTCCCAGGAAGTCCCACCTCTCAGGAAACCCGTCAGCGCCTCCCTGGACGATTCTCGGCTAGTTCTCTGAATTTATTTTCCAGATAAAGTTCACAGTTGCCTCACTAACTAAGAAGCTCCCCGCCTCCCCAGGGGTTCCGCCGGGGGCACCGCTGGGTTAAGGACATCCCCTGGCTAGAGAGAACCGGGTGCTTCCCCACGTGGACCCACGTGTGTTTGTTCATTTCTTTGAGCCCGTCTTTCTCGCCTTCAATAAAAGTGTGTTGTTTCCTTTGTGCCATCACTGCAGATGGTGAGTCACAGATTTAAAAAGAAACGTCATGGCACGTTCGGTTTCCAGGGCGGCCACTGGGTCTGGTGTGGCACTGAGTCCATGCCTGCCTTACCCTGCGTGGAGCAGAGATGTGGGCACTGCCCCGGGGCGCCGGCTGCCTGGGCTGAGTGGTTAGGGAGACCCCGGCCCTCCCCGGAAGAGGCCTGCGGTCGCTAATACACTTGCTAAGGATCCCCCAGCAAGCAGAACAGAACGTCCCAGCTCCTGGAGAACCTTCAGTCCATCACTGGCTCCGACAGGATAAGAACACGGGCCATCAGTCAGCGGGTACCAGCCGGGTCCCCCCCTCGGGTCGCTGGGTACTCTGAGATGCTCACAGGTTCGCACAGACGTGCAGAGGGCTGGCCGGCTGACGGGGGCCAGTCAGTCCCTCAGCAGGCGCAGCCCGGGCGCGGCGGCCAGACGGCCTCGTGCCCCTAAGCCCTCACCTCGCTCACTGCTTTCCTGAGCGTCCGGGTGTCCTCGGCCTGCGCGCGGTACTGAGCCTCGAGCAGGGCGGTCCGTTCCTCCAGCTGGTTGGCTCGGACGGTGAGCTGGTCCACGTGCAGGTCCTGGAAGCGAGGGGAGGAGACGCATCGTGAGGTGGGTCTCCACCGACCCCGACCCAGGCGCGTGGGCCCAGCTCCCGCGGCCGCAGGTTCCCGCAGAGGAATCACAGGTGGGCGCAGGCTTCCTCTTGGCAGGACACCTGCTGCTGCTTCTCCAGCTCGGCCTGCATCCGCTCGGCCTCCGACTTCTTCACCACCTGCTTCATCACACGGATGTCGTCACGCACGTCCTGGTCCACGTTCTGCACGTAGAAGAGGTGCAGAGCCAGGGTCTCCACCTCCGTCTGCAGGGCCGCCACTGCGGGAGACAAGAGGGGCGTCCCAGCACTGCACCCCGACGACAGGGAGGCCGCAGCCCCCCGCCAGGTGGGTGGGCCTGAGAAACGGCGCTCAAACGACGAAGACCCGGACCTTGCCTTCAAAGACCTCACAAAGTTGGAGAGACAAAAATATGTGCAATCTAGGCCCAGTATCCCAGCCATGAACAGGAGACCCTCCGCATCTAAGGATGTTCTGAAACAGCGCTGGATTACGGGGCCTCATGTGAGTTCTACAGATTTCTGCTCACTCAGAGGCTGGTCATCTCAGGGACAAACCTAAACCCCCAGGAAGAAACTAGCCTGATGGGTGGGCTGAACGCCACTGAAGCCCCTGGGACGGAGGAATGGGTTCCTTTTAACGAAACTCACGTGAGACTGATTTACAAGCCAGAACACCAGTGTATTTAGAGGGCAAGACCTCAACCTGTGGTGGCAGAGCTTGAAGGGTCATTTATGCAATGAAGACGGGGTGGGCAGAATTTTATACGCTTCCCATGACCTTTGCCCCCATGGTCACTCCTGTGATTAGGCTGTGTTTTGTGGCAAAAAGGGACATTTTAAGGTGGGCCTCATCTAAGCAGGTGAGTTTTCTCGACTTGGTGGCAGAAGAGGAAGTTGGAGAGATTTGCAGGGTCAATAGGATTTGTTTAGTGTGAAGTAGGGGTCTGAGTGTTTATTTTCAGGTGGTCAAATGATCAAAAAATATTTAGTGATCTAACAATGCCACCGGCACATTCAGTTTGCAGTAAGCAGCTAAATTGGACAGTTTTCCTTCATAATCCTTCTTTTTTAAAATTTTCTTGGATATTCTTGTGCACTTAGTGTTCCAAGTGAATTTTAAAATCAATTTGTCAGGAATGGAGCGCATCGATAAGGGGAAAAAGCTGCGAGGAACAGCAGTGGGCACACCGCGCAGCTACTTGTGTAAAAGGTACAGGACAAAACGCTGCACACTTATAACTTGGCTTTTATGTGCAAAAATATCTTCAACAGAACACGCAGGAATCAATACCACCGGGGCCTCTGTGGAGGGGGCTGGAGGTGGGGGCAGATGGGGAGACTTCAGAGGGCTTCAATGTTGAATAATTACTTCTTGAAAATAAGTAAATAAATAGGTTAAGTTAATTCAAGTTCACCCAAAACATCCCGTCATGGATTGTAACGGGAATTGCACTGAACTACTTATTAACTTGGAGACAAATGACATCTTCACATGGTTGTATCTTCCCATCCTGGTAACATGATTGTTCCATTTATTCAAATCTGTTTTAGGTCCCTTAGTAAAGTTTTATTGTTTTTCTCCAGACAGGCGGACCCACTTCTTGTTAGACTTCCTCCTAAGTGTTTCATGGTTGCTATCGCTGTTATGGATGAGTTTTTTTTTTAATTATAATTTGTAATTGGGTATTACTGGTAGACAACTGCAGCTCTGGTATCCAGTTACTTTCTAGATTTCTTTTTAATTAGCTTTTTCTTTTTCCATCAGTAATCTTGGCTCCTCCAGGTAAACCATCATACCATTGGTGGAGAGTGAGCTTCATGATTCACACCCAGAGCCTACACCTCATTTACTTCTGTCTTCTCGCATGGCTGGAACCTCCAAAACAGCGCAGACCCCCGTCTCACTCCCGATCTTCTCTGTGACGGCTCAGGGCTCTCCCTGGAGCAGCAGTTTCTTGTCAGTTTCTGGCAAATACTTACAAAGGGCTTTCCTTCCATAGTTTAGGGTGGACAATGAGTTATAGCCAAACACCCACTTGGCATCCCCCCAGAGAATCTTTTCTCCCCCCTCCGTCCTTTAACGGATGAATTTAATGCAACACGTTAGCAGATTTCCGACTTTCAGACTAGTCCAGAATCATTAAGAGGTATCTTTCTTTTCCTATATTGCTGAACTTATTCTTTTTGTCACTCAGTGAAAATTTAGTATTTGCTAATATTTTATTCAGGATTTCCACATGGCACAAGTAGGACCTCTTTATAGTGTTCTGTTTTTGGAGGTTGGAAGCTTTATCAGCAAGGATTACACCAAGCATTATAAAATAAGCCTGGGAAGAGTTTCCCAGATCTTCCACCCCGCTCCCTAGAGGGTTAATAACGCAGGAAGTGTCTGGCTTCGACCTGCTTGTAAGCCTGTGGTATTTTTTTCCCTTTCCCTTTGGAACTTAAAAATTCCACCAACTGTGTCAAGGCATGTTTGTTTTCCTTCCACCTGTCTGGCCCTCTGTGAATCTTTATAACTGAAGATTCACCTTACGAGAACTCATGCAAATGTTTCCGTCTGATGTCACTGGCTAATGCCCCTAATCTCCTGGAATTTCTGTCTTGTGGACACTGACTTTTTCAGGTCTGTTTGTCCACATCTTGTATCTCCTTCTCAAAGTGTCCATCATGTTGGGTTTTGCCCTGAACTCTGGGCAGAATTCCCCCAACTGGCCTGTCAGTTTACAAGTTCCGCTTCCATCAGCGCTGGTTTGTCTATTTAGTGCCTTTTTCTTTCTTTCTTTCTTTTTTTTGGGGGGGGGTGGGAGATGATGATTGTTTTTTAATTCCAAGGATCCTTTTCCACAACACTTCGCATTCATTTGCCCCGTGTGACATCCTCTACAATCTCAAGTCGGACACCAGCGGACGCGTGCCGTTTCCAGAAACTGGCCTGTGTCTGTGGAGGCGTCCGCTCTGTCGGTCAAGCCCTGCCTGCTCTCCTGTCTGGGGGCTGCTGCTGCTGCTGCCTCACACTTGGACGAGAAGGTCTACTGGCTCCTGGGCTTCCACTCCCTCCCAGGTGAGGCGGCCAACCATGGAAGTCCTCCACAGGCAAAGCCCCATGTGTCACCTACGGGACCACACTTGGTGGGCAGGGCTGGGCCCATTCTCCGAATTCCTTAGTTTGGAGAAGGGGGAACTGGCGCTGTTAGAGGGGTCCTTGCTTGGTGGAACCCCCTTCTGCTCCTGTTCCTTGGTGGCCTCTAGAAAGGATGCAGTGTCCACAAAGACATTTAGAGCTTTCCAGAAGCCCACCCATACCTTGAGCCTCTGGTGAGGGGTGCTGGCTGGCACTTGCTGCTGTGTGGAGGGGGTGGGAGAACCTGTGTCCTCTTTCAGGTTGGTCTAAATTCTGTTCCATCCAGAGGACGTGGCTCTGTTGCTTTGGTGTGAATGCCCCACTCCTCTCTTTTTGGTAGATTCTGTTAACTTGGCGGTAGTCAGGGAGGGGTACTCCAGAAGTGAGCGCATGTCCCAACTCTGTCCATCTGGAAACCTCCCCGGCATCTCTCAGGGCCCAAAATGCTTCTTTCCAGCCATAGTTGAGATAAACGTGTGATGCCGTTTTCTTTCGGATTCTCTTAGGTTCCTCCCCCCGTTGTAATAGTAATACAGAGTTGATAAAGGAAGTTGGAAACATGAAAAAGCACAGAGACTGAAGTAACCTGGGGCGGCCGCACTGCTGACTGTGACCCGCGACCTGGGCTCTGTGCTGGGCCACTGCTTTGGTGGCAACAGTGCGCGGTGATGAGTGGTATCCCCACTGTTTCTTCTGCTCCAAGGCCCCCGCCCCCCTTAATCTGCCGCACAACCCGGGGCTGCAGGGCAGCCTCACCCATACCTCCCCACCTATTCAAAGCCTGTCCCTTCCCGCTCCTCCTGCCCTCTGAATACCCTACCTTCGACGCCACCAGCCTCTCCTGCTTCGACCTGTGTACCCCACCTGCCAGCTTTCAGCGTTTGCTGCTTTGCCTAATTAGGTCCCTTTAAAGACATTTATGTCTTCCCTCCCCCCAAAGGCTGGGAACTCCTCCAGGACACGAACACATCTTGCTTCTCCTGATGCCCTGAGACGGCCCTCGGGGACGCC